CAGCTCATTAAGTGTCAGTGACTTGATAAATGGTACGGCATCCTTATCTAGTAATTTTCTTTAAAGAAATGAAAAAGACTAAATAGACCTCATCTTTGGATCCTGCCAGGACAGTTAGGATAAATGAGGGGCAGAGAGAGTGCACCTAAGGTCACACACTGAGAGAGTGAATCCTAAACTTCTGCTGGAACCTCAAGCCATGCTGTCACTTCAAACAATGCCTCATGATACAGAGAACCGGAGGTGTCTTTTTGAAAGAAACCTCTCTTCAAAGGAAATATTATATTGGTAAATGTGCTGATTAAATTCCTACTGTGCATTCCATTTTTAAATGTCAAAATCTATTTGCTCTTCTGATTTACATCCGTGCTCCATGCTGTTGGAGGCTGCGGGATTCAGCAAGTCTGATATGAAATTATCTAATTTCCTCATATTAAGGAATAAACTGCAGCACTTCATGCCAAGACTGTTATAGGTCTGCAGAGGACATAAATATCCTCTCCAATCCCTATTTTAGTTCTTTAATCTCTTGTTAAAGTAGCAATAACAATCATAACAATAAGCCAGTTGTCCTCACAAACATTATATAATGTGGTTTTTATAAAATTCAGAGATGAGGGAGATGAGCTCAGGAGGACAGACACCTGCTGTAATAAACTCAGTAGCTCCAGGAAGCTATGCACGTTCCCATTTTCAAGTCTGCATTAGAGTCTGCAAACAATTTTAGAAACTAAAATTATTTTAATCTAGGTCACTGGAAAATAAAAAATATGCCCTCCTATGTGTAGAATTTTATAGCATCTAATTAAATCAGTTATGACCCTGATGGAGATTATTAGGATCCTCTGTTAACTTTAGAAAATTATTTGGTATATGTATCTGACCCCATATGAAGGCTGTGCTAAATGTGTTCATGGGCAGATCCTTTGCATATGGGGAAGTTACTTTCCAGAATTGTGACTACACTGAAGTAGACAGGCATCAGGCACAATTAGGGTATCCAACATTGATCTAGCATGGAAGGTAACTAAGTGAACACCAAGGGTTAACCCTTCAGTGGACACTGAAGGTCTGAGTGAATGGCAGGTGATATATTAGAAATCGCACAATACATGAACGTTTAGATGGGATGCAGTTGGTAGAAAAAGGACAAGTGATATGTTTCCCATTTATGTCCTGGGGCACAAACATACATTCATCAGGGAAATTCTGCAGACTTGTCCTGGGAGCTTCTACATATATCTAATATTCTGTTTTTATTCCAAACAATCATCCTGATTTCCCACAGTATAAATTTCAATTCAATCCAATATATGCAAATCTGTTTTGGGTACTAGCTCCTACAGGGATACAAACTATATTGGATATATTTCCTACCATGAAATAGAATTTTGATAAATTTAAAAAAAAACAGGGAAAATAGTTTGACTCTGACTAGATGGACCTGGGAAATCTTTCAAAGATTATGTTTGAGCTGAATATTTAAAAAACAGTTGACCAGCAAATGACAGACATGTACTAAAACCCTGGGACCCATGAGTACAATTTGGGGAGATAAGGGGCAGGAGGAAATGTTTATTCCCAAAGTTGTAGACAAAGAGAAACCCATGGTTTTTCTCTTTAAAATCACAACAAGAAGGACAGAAATATTTCAGCAAACAGTTCAATATTAGCGATAAAGGCATATAACTAAAACCTAGATGCTGCCTGGCTGGTGTGGCTAAGTGGCTAAGCGTTGACCCAGGAACAAAGAGATCGCAGTTCAATTCCTGGTAAGGGCACATGCCTGGGAATCAATCCCCAGAGGGGAGTATGCAGAAAGCAACCAATTGATGATGTTTCTCTCATTTATGTTTCTATCTTTCTATCCCTCTCCCTTCCTCTCTCTCTAAACATCAATAAAAAACATTTTTAAAAACCTAGATGCTTATATTTTTTAATTTTTTATCTATAAATGTATGTTTATAGATATACTATTCTTTAATATTTTTGATGTTTTATAGCTAAACAAAAAGATAAATGGTGCTAATAAACAATGCTGGTTTTCCATACCTATGAGAAGCCTAGCAATTCAGAAAACAAAACTGCCGCCTTCTACCAGATGACAGTCGCCTCTACTTGTCTTCATCATAATCAAACCTAAAGTGCCAGCCAACCTACACAGTGTTGATTAAATTGTGATGATTAGAAAAATATTGTTCTAGTGCCCTACAGAGTGGACCTGGGGGCTTCACAAGCAGCTGCTTGGACAGCACTGACTGGACCTGGACAGAAAATAAATGGGGGGGGGGCGGGGGGCATGAAGATAGGAAGCAGTGTGGAGATAAAGAAGCAGCAGTCAATACAGTTAACCGAATTTACTGAATGAGCCATAGGCACTCAACGCCCACCATGTGCTGTAGTCAACACCGCCAGCGCTGACTCAGAGCTTGCGGCATCCCAGGGATGAAATAATGTCACGAAATCAAATAGTACCAATGTCCCTTTTCTGGATTGGAAATTCTGATTCTAGTACAAAAATAGGAAAACCTCCACCATTCATTCCCAGGTTTGTCAGGTCTTTAAGGGACACAGGGAAGCAGTGTTTCATGATTCAATAGGACCCCTTATCATGCAACTTACCTAACTCTTGTTCATAACTTAATTATATGTTTATTTCTCTTCTATGGGTATGGGGTATGGTTTTGTATTAATTTTTCTTGTGCATTAATTCTTCTCAAATAGCCTCTAAGCAGAAAAGGCAAGGGTTGTTTATCCTACTACATTTGTGAGGCTGTATATAGCAAAGTCATTAACAGCATGGCCTTTGGGGGGAAATTATTTTTTCAAGTCCCGGTTCCTCCATTTACTAGCTGTGTGAGCTAAGAGCCAAGATTAGGGTAAATAGGGCTCACACCCTGGATGACAATTTAAGGGAGTGCCGAAAAGATCAGTAACCAAGATATACATATTAATAAAATATTTTAAAATCAAAATTTAGGAAAAATTCCTGATGAAGAAAATATCAACATTTTAAATAAAGCCAGGCTGCTGTTTGTCCATTTTGAGACCCAGCTATATTGTCCAGGGAACGGTGTTTCCCAATCAGGCTGTGGTCCCTGAGCCTCATGGCATCGTGTCCTCCACGACCACCTGTAGAAGAGTTGACAGAGGAGAACACATTGAGCAATGCACTGCGTTATGTAGTCATTAAGTTGTTTTTTTATTATTATAGAAATTTTATTAAGTTTTTCCACTTAGGCAAAATTTGGAAGGGTATTTTGATAAGTGCATATAGGGGTACATGTTTTTCCTTTTGTCTCAGAATTCATGTCTTGGATATGTGTGTAACCTAAGTTTTAGTTACCTCATCAATAAAAGGGGATCATTATAGTACCGACCTCACGGTATTATTGAGAGGTGTGAATAAGGTAACAATTGAAAAACTGAGCACATTCCTGTTCTTACTATGCATTAAAAACTAATCTCTAAAGAGTTGGTTTTATGACTCTCCATAGCTCCTCGGTTTATCAGGTAGATAAAGAATACTCATGAAGTAGCTGGTTGATCATCAGCGAGGCTAGAGGACAGTTCGTATTAATTGAACATATATTGAGTGTCAGGACTAGTGTAGGTATGCCAGTGCAATCTATATTTCCCATTAAATCATAGGGTCCATTAAGTTGGAAGTCCATGAAAGTTGCCAAAATTTTTTCTTAAAAGAACAAGAAGAGAAAAACAGACAAGAATAAAGACTATATAATAAGAACCTCTTACCAGTCTGTTTTCTGCTGACCCTAAGATTATCATTATCAGGTGGCAGCTGAAGTACACTCTATGACCCCTAGGGTTAGGGTATCAAGGACCCTTTCAATCAGCAAATTGTTCACACCTCTGTAATCAACCACCTACATAAAGGCCTCTGGCCTCTAGGAATTTCTTTTAAATTTTTCATTTCTGATACTCCTGGAAGTGGGGTTTTGTTTTGTTTTGGTGTGTGTGTGTGTGTGTGTGTGTGTGTGTGATGGGTTGGTTTTCATTAGTGTGTGTTGTCTCTGAGGCTTACTTGTCCCTGGTCCTGGGCATCCCTGCTTTTTGATGCTGTGACTTAAGTGACTTCTTATTTTGCGTGACCTTTGAGCAAGTTACTTAACTTCAGTTCATTCCAGATTGTTGTAGGGAGTAAATAAGACTTGGAATAACTTTGCCCAGTGCCTAAAACAGTAGTAGCTAAATAAACTTAAGCTATGACTAATAAGAATATAAAATTTTAGTAGTGGTCATAGCATGATATTGGTATTATTCTCCCCCTCCCAGCTCTAGATATTTCAATGCTTGACTGCACTAGTTTTTTCTGCCTCTCATCCCATTTGCTCCATGAAAGCAGCCACCCATGGGCAGTCTTGCCTTGGCCCCTCTATAACTGGGATTCTAGGTTCTTTCCGGATCTCTGAATGTTGTAAGTTACCAGGCATAACTTTGCAACTGAATCCTATCTTTCCCAACAAAGGAACAAACCTTTTCCTCGACAACAGTCAACTGCCCAGAAAAACAAACAAACCCTGGAGCAAATTGTGGTTTGGGGGGTTTTATTTTGCTTTGTTTTTTGTATCTTTCCTCCACCAATGAAACCACCCAGGTTAGTCACACTCAGCTACACAATAAAGGAAAAAGTAGTTTTCCTTGCCAGTCTCCAACCGTGGCCTCTGACTGCCCTTCTTCCCACAACAGAGTGACAGATGGAAATGTTCCAGGTGGCAAGTCATTTACTAAAGGTCAAGCAGCATTTTGAACTCCAAGATCCTCACCAAAACAGTCCCTGTGCATAAAGCAGGATCTATAAAATCAAGCTTGTTGAGCTGGAAGACCTGTAGGGGGAGCCTGCCTCCTTAATTATTGGGCTCCAGGTTTGCAGATGCTGAGTCAAGTGCCAGTTAATTCTTAAGGCTCCTTTTGGAGCCCTGGTATCCAGAATATAAGCTCTCTCCCTTTAACTTTCTGTGTACTTCTTCATTAAGAAGACAGCAGGATAGACACATAGGTCCTTCTTTATGTGAGAATAAAGGTGTGTGCATTGCTTCAGGAGTAGGTCTTAAGCAGGGTATGATATATATATATATTTGTAAAGATGATACCAATCCCAGCCATAGTTATTTATAGAATTGTGTCTTACATAAGAGTTTCTACTAAATATATTCTGGAAATATCTATATAAACTATTCAAAAAGTCTACGCTCCTGTTTCCACTGTTTCTGCTCCTACCCCATACTTGAATTCTCTCACTCACCTGCTTCCATTTCTTCCACCCTGCATCTGTCTCATTTTTTAAACTAGAGATTCCAAGTCAGATCATTGTTCTCATTATTTCATGACTTCTTCCCCACCAGATGCATTCCTGTTCACCTCACCCGCTTTAGTTCCCTCCATTTCCCCTGGCTCCTGTGCGTAAGATCCACCTGTTGTTTAGAGTTAGACCCGTGGTTCTCAGCCCTGCCCCACTGAGGGGCTCATCCCAGAACAACTGAGTTCAAACCCCCAGAGAATAAATTTATGCATCTGAGTGTTTTCAAAGCAACTGAATTGAGCATGCTGTTATACTAAAGGGTATAAGGACATACCCCTTCCTCTATCCTCTGCCCCTCAAGAGTCCCCTCTTCACTGGGCCCTTAGTCAGCAGAATGACTGAATGGACCAATGCTTTGACACCCCCAGGACCTTGTCCATGGAAATAATGAGGTGGGCAAGAACAATGGGACTTTTCTTCACAGACCCAAGAAAGGACATGGAAGAGAGGAAACAAATACTCCAAATGATCTCTGGTCTCCAAAGTTCAGATTAACATTTACAGCCTACTCTTCATGAGTCCTCTTTGAAGGCAGTACAAACATAGAAATAATGAGGGCAGAAGGGCAAGGACTGACAAGGCTGAGGTAAGGAGGAAAGGAAGTGCCTACAGCATAAAATTTAAGGAGGCGCTCACTCTCAGGTGCCCAGGGTGCATTTACAAGACCCTGAGAGTAAGTGCCTCCTTAAATTTTGTGCCCTAGGAGTCTCCTTACCTCATCCTAGTCCTGGCCCTGAGGGGACCTAAATGAGAGCTTTCTAAAGTTATGCTGGGAGAGAGGGTGACTATAATTATCCAGTTCAGTTGAAGATTTTATAGGCAAAACATAAAGCCTTCTCAGCACACCTTGCCATTAAGATTTCTGAATTTGGCATGAGGATTGTGATCTGCCATTAGCCCCCAATGCTGTGTGCCCCCCAAATATGCAGCTTATAGAGGATTCAAAGGGGGAGTTCTCAACAGAAGAGCAGCAAGTATCTGTTCATATTAGGAGAAACTGACAATCGTTTTTAGCTGAAAGTCAAGGGTAATGATATTTTGTCTAGTAACATACTAAATACTAGTACCTCTTCATTTCAATCCTTCGTTCATATCTCTCTTTTTACAAGATATAAATTAGTACTTGTGGAATACCTAGCCCAGAGCTAGCCAACTTGAGTGCTCAATGACTGGTAACTATTTTTCTCACCAGGAAGATAATGGAACTCAGGAAACACTTTTCACCCGGGATCACCGCATCAGCAAATCCACATTATTTAAAGACAGAATCAAGCTAGGTGCAGACTATGGGCTCTACCTCTCTCCAGTCCAAATCCACGACGATGACCGGAAGTTCTCTTGCCACGTTATAGTCAGGCCTGGCAAAATCTTCAGGAGCTCCACCACGGTCAAGGTTTTCGGTAAGAGTGTTTGTTCTCCGGACTCCCCACCATCCTGCCATCCCTGTTGCCTGCCTCACTTTCCCCCTAGAGAGGAAACAGCCTGTGACCTGGAGTGCAGCCACCCAAGGCTAGCTATTCAGGAGTTTTGTTTACCTTGATACCTGCCTTCCATGTTGGGGCTGGGGAGGAGGATAAGAAGTGAAAGAATAACGATTCTGTTATTAGATGATTGAAATCACACAATTGGTCAGTTTCCTGGTGACCACTCCCTTACTTACAATTTTAATATGTCCTAAGAATACTGGAAATCTCTTTAATTATAGTTGCCAAAGTATAATTGCTTAGCTATCTAATTGTCTCAGTTGCTTGCTGGAGGAAGACAGAATAAGGCCAGTGTGAGAATAGAAGGATGATGAACAGAGCTCCAGAGACGCTCTCCGGGCATCGCCCCCATACAGCGCCAAAGCCAGCTGGGGTGAATGCAGGCCAGCTCCTCCAGCAAGGACGCCCACAGTAGGGGCCTCTGACTCTGCAGGGTCCAAACTGGGGGGAGAGGGGGAAATGTGAAAATTCTATTTTGTTCAGTGATGCAAGGAAATGTTAATAAACAAAAACTCCTAGCTTTGAATATTTTTTTTCATCTTTGTGACTAAGAAATGTGCTTTTTAAAACAGCATTTCTAAATTAAGGCAGAGAGAAAAGCAGTGATGCGGGTGAGCAATTAATTGATTTTGAAAATAAGGTAAACGAAAAGAAAATAACTTTACAAAACATAAGTCACGACTGACAGAACAAGTAAAAAGAAAATCTTTGTTTTTACTTACAATCTCATTGCATTATTATTAGAGGTCACAGAATTCAGTATTTTGAAGGAAATGCCAGCCCTGCAGTTCATAAAGATGGAGTAGCTACAGCCAAGATTAATATAATTTGAAGCCTCTTGCTTATAGTTTTCCTCTGTCTCTTCCTCCTGCCCTCCTTCCCTCCTTCCCCAGCTCTCCCCATGGACGGGCTAGGAAATAATCAATCGCCCCTGATGGTCAGGTTCGTTATGGAGCCTAAACAATGTTCTGTGAAGAGTTGGGAAAGACTGTTCATCTCTTTTATCGATTATCACCCTCAGCACTCTTACCGAGGTGTGACTGTCTTAGCACAAACATGAAACCAACTCATCTGGTCTTACTATTGGCAAATCAATGAAGGCAGCCATCCGGGATGTGCAAAGAAATATCAATTCTAAATAATGCAATTTGTGTCCCTTTTGACCAAGGGTTTTTGCACTGTAACTTGACCTAATTGCCATGTCAAATTAAACTGTGTCCTCTTTGCTGCATTAAAATGCTTTCATCTTGGTCTTGACCGCTTCTGACTTTTACATCTCACTCTTTTCACCCTATCTATCTGTACATCTGTCTCAACATTTCTGTTTCTTTTTTGAACTCCTTCCAGTACATGCTTAAAAATAGGAGATTCTGCCTCCTTGTAGATATAATTAGATTTTCCCTGCTTCCTGGACTTTCTCCTTTACCAAATGGGCTGGCTAGGTTGTGTTAGAATAGTCTCATCTAGTCTGAACCTATTTGTGGGTGTCACCTGAACATATATCATCATGGCCTTGGCATAGAAGCACAATACATAGTTCATTTAGAATCCACTCTGCATTCCTTGATTATTCCTCAAATAGATGAAGCCAAAAATAAAAATATGAAAACCTCAAAATAAATACCCAAGTGTACCACAGACCCATTCTACATGCCCAAATCCAGCTCTTTTCTTCTTCCTGACAATGCCTTTACTCTCTAACAGACCAGGGATTGGACGTTTGCCCAGCTCCTCTGTGGCTTCCTGCATCTCTCTCACTCGTCTCCTTTAACTTTCCTTTCCTTAGTGGTAAGTCATCTGCCATTACAAATTCCCGCTCCTCAGCTCTAAATCTAATTGTCCTGAGCTTCAAAAATAATCTCTACCACCCCTGCAATTTTTAGTAATTGTTCTTTCTTTTGGGTCCTTTATTCTATGGTATTTGTTGCCAACAGAAGGTCAGAAATGTCCCTCCTCTCCTCAGTGTTTTAGAGTTGTATTTTGGTTTGGGTTCTCCTGAAAGAAAGCAAGGAGAGGAGGATTTGGGTTGAATTCCTTTGTTTGAGAGGTAATCCTCTGAAACATCAGAAGAGGAAGGAAGATAATAGAATGTACACGATCAAGCTGTGGGTTTGGAGCTCGAACCCCTGGGGAACTCTGGAAGAACACACATCAGAGGCAAGGAAGCTGGGGTATTAGGCACCAACTCCCCATCTGTTATCGCCACAAACTCTCTGGGATTTCTTGTTTGCCCTGCTTGTGGACTCAGTGGGCTCCCCTAACCCCAATAAATCCTTAGGAGAGTATCACATTTGCCCCTACTTAGTGAGGTCTCTTGACCAGCAAGTAAAGTCAAATGTCAAGTGGATTTGCAGGCATTAACAGCACCTGTGACAGGGTCTTAATATTTTAATATTTTCTCCACTGGTTCATAGACGGCTTTGTCTGCTGTACTCAAGAATTTACTTGAGCCCAGTCAGTGTGGCTCAGTAGTTGAGCATTGACCTATGAACCAGAAGGTCATGGTTCAATTCCCAGTCAGGGCACATGCCCGGGTTTCGGGCTCCATCCTCAGTGCAGTACATGCAGGAGGCAGCCGATCAATGACTCTAATCATTGATGTTTCTATCTCTCTATCCCTCTCCATTCCTTTCTGAAATCAATAAAAATATATTTAAATTTTTTAAAAAGAATACTGACTGGTTTGGCTCAGTGGATAGAGCATCCGCCAGCAGACTGACGGGTCCCAGGTTTGATTCTGGCCAAGGACACATACCTAGATTGCAGGCTAAATCCCCAACAGTGTGTGGGAGGCAACCAATCGATGAGTCTCTCTCACATCAATGTTTCTTTCTCACTGTCTCTCATCCTCCCTTCTACTCACTCTAAAAAAAAAATAATAATGGAAAAATATCCTTGGGTGAGGATTAACAAAATAAAAATAAAATGAAATTTTAAAAAATTTGTAAAGAACTTACTTGAAATCACTTAAGTTCAACATGATATAGTTAATACCTATTTTGGATTGGGCTCTGTTAAGTGCTTGAGATGAAGAGATGAATAAAACAGCCTGGCTTTGAGGCACCTATACTTTAGCAGGATAACAAAATCATTGAAATAGTTCCTAATAGTTTCTAGTACCAAACAACTGAAGTATAAAGTGTCTTTCCTGTCCCTTTCAGAGGCCTATACATTATACTGTATTTCTGTCCCTCCTCTCCTCCACAGTCCCCTTTTCACCTGACTCAGTAGTAATCATAATTCAACTATCAATTAGATATAGCAAATTTCAAAAGCTTCCTCTTATTCTCCAAGGTTGGGTTAGCAGTTTCTCTTAAAAGCTTTCTTCAAATCCTATATGTCCTCAATTATGGTATTTATCTCAGCGTTTTCTAATTTCTTGTTTATGTATCTGTATTTTTCAAGAAAATATAAATACTTTTAGCACAGTGAAGATTATTTGCCCACCTTTGTGTCCTAAAAATCTAACATTCTGTCAGGCACACAGTGAGAGTTTAATTTTAATATATTATAAATGACGAATTTTTTACACACACACACACTAGTAGTCAGGTAAGATGGCATTGCGTGCCACTAACTGTGTTTTCTTTGCCTTTAAGCTAAGCCAGAAATCCCCATGATTATGGAAAATAACTCCATGGATGTCTTGGGAGAGGTGAGTCACATTAAAGCCTTTGAAAATTTATAGTATAACACACCGAGGTTACATCGTTGTCCAGAACATTTTTCCAAAGGATATTACTCTTTGGCCCTCAGCCAATTAATTTCTGGTGAGGTAGAAGGGAAGTTGAATTGAAGCTGGAAACCTAATGGGCATTCTTACTTTCTGACTTTGGGCTCTCAGAGTATGTGATCTGTGGTCACGAGTCCTTATTTTTTCTGAAAAAAAAAAAGTCTCAATAGCTTAAATTTCTTTTTAATAAAAATTGAAGTAGAGTGTGAAGGAAAAGTAGGGCAGAGAGCAGTGTGAATCCTGGTGAAAGAATGAGTTTTATGCTCAGCTGACATTTAATTTGTTCAAAGCCATTTCCTGTACCAGCTTTCCCATTGTTTTTATTTTGAAGTTAACAAGAAGAAAGCTGTCCTTATGTACTCCTCAGAGCCTGGCTATTTCTTAGCAGCAGGAGAAAGGGCAAGAGAAAAGGGGAAGTAAAGTAGACCCTCTGACTTCAGTTTCTAGTAGGTAGTTCCCAGCCTCTAATCACCTGGAATCTGAGCTCAGAGCTCACTTGCCAGCTCTTCTCTTTGCTGGCTGTGACCTTGAGCAAGTTATTTCACAGCTTTGTAGTCAGTTTTCCCACTCATATAGAGGGGATTAGATGAGTATCTGCACATTGTTGTTTTTAAGAATTAAATGAAATAACCTATGAAAAGTTCTTAGTAGATAGTGTGGCATATATTAATTGCTCAATAAATATCATTTTGTTGTTTTGTTCATATTACTATTATGTATGTTAATCAACTGTCTTGTGGCATTATGATTTTACTCAAGCTTTTCATAACTCCAAATAAAAGATACTCTCATTAACTCTCCTATTTCCTATTACATGGGATGAGAGAAAATTATACTTATATTCTAGTTTCTTCTAGCCCCAAGAACATTAAATTACTTATGATGTCTAGTCCTGCTGAATATCAGTCATGTAATTTGACAGTTGAATTATAGCTCAGACTCTGTGGGATGGTTTTAGA